GCTCGCAGGCTAGGTTTGACCAGGGAAAGAAATGTTCGAGGCTCCCTTTTTAGAGACAACTCTGCTGGAGTCTTACCTGAAGTGGAAGATTTCTGTATCGGAATAGAATATGAGCAACTCTATGTTGCACAGACTTAGGCTTTACACACACCTTTGAATGTCCGCAAATGTTACTCTGCCAAACCATTGCTAGCAGGGTGGTAGGGAGGAACTAGGGTGGGTTTGATCTTGTTCATTCTTAAAAATGTCCGGTACTCTTCAGACACAAACTGAAGACCATTATCACTAAGTACGCTGGACAAAACTGTTCTGGATCGACATTTTACAGCAAAAAATGAAACAAGCAAAGTGACTCAAATAATTTGACGATTGTCTTAAACTTCACTAAATTCCGCACATGGAAACTTAGTTTTATATGGATCACGCGAGAAAGGCTTGCGTTACAAATTTTCCAAATTTGGTGAATGAGTCACAAAAGTATGCAAAATCACGTGATTTCTGAGAAAGAAGGGTCACATTTGGAGTGTTGAAGTAACTCTTTACGTGCTGGTGTTTTTTTTGTCAAGATTTTGACAAAAAAGCATGAGAGAGACTTAAAACTTATTTGGCCACTGAAATACGATACTGTCTTCAGAAACTGATCTTCTTTAAGTCTTTAAACTGTTCTTGCCACTAGATCGATCTTCGCATGTTTTGAAGATGGCTGCCTTTAGCTCGCGCTTGGTACAGGTCACAATTGCACGAGATACTGCTGTGTTAAAGCGTTGCTGGCCGAGAACCTCAGAAACTGCTATTTGTGCTTTTAGGAAAGTTTCCGAACCTGTTTTTGAGCTCATCCACCAGGAGCTTGCCATTTTCTCGTATTCTCTTACATAACAGCTTGAAATAACTTTGTGTGGTTTGCCATGTGGCTTCAGTCAGAAAGCATCACAACTTGAAACTTTGATTATCCAAACCATTGATGTATCACCGCAGGATTATAGTTTTGTTTACATGGATTATTACTCTTTCCTCCTTCCTCGTCAAATTCAAGAAAAAATGATCTGCAAACCCTAACGATGTTCTTCGCACAACAACACTGGTCTAACACTACGATGTCGATGTAAACCATAACTATTCTTTCTGAGATATCGCCCAATTTTTCGTTCTTTTATGATTCACGCCGGAAATTTATATACGCTGTAACGCAAGTCTTCTTTGCATGATTTGCATGAAAATAACTTTCCATGTGTGAAATTTAATAAGGTTTGAGACAATCACAACATTATTTGTATCGCTTTGCTTGTTTTAATTTTTTGTGGTAAAACTTCAATCCGGAACAGTTTTGTCCAGCGTACTATCTAGCAAATACGGCTCTAAGGACATTGATGGTAGCAGTTGCAGTAGTGGAGGTCATGGGGAAAACCTCCAATCATTTCGAGTGCTATAAACAATGGCAAGTAACTTCAGCAAAGTCCACATGGATTCTTTGCCATGGTTTAGGAGTACAAGGTCAGAACAGTAGGTTCCAGTAGAGGAAGTGCTTTAGAGTGCTTTGTGTATTGCTCCTGGCGTATTGACACATTCCTCACAAAATCTGTCCTCTGTCCTCTGTCTGAAACTTATCTTGGCTGTTGGAGCTGTTCACTTGCCGTAAACTCGCAAATTTTTCTTGAAGCTTCATCACTGCATCGAGTGACTAACAGCCCAAAACTACCAGACGTCCTTAGATTAATAATGCGAAAAACTGGGCAGTGGCCACGATGTAAAAAGCTTTGCCATTGGCGAATTTCTCGAGCGCATTGTTGTTCAAAGAGCAAATAATAATCCCTGTTAAAAAGAACCTCGTGGTCAAACGAATAGCGAAGCGCAAAAAAAAAAAAGGGCAAAATTGCCGTCTTTTTTCTTTGAAAACGTTCGTCAAATCAGGGCATAACGGGTCGTTTTCCAACGAAATTTGCCCAGAAAATTCCCACGAAATATGCCGCTTTTTTATCGTCGAAATTTTCCCCATAAATTCCCACGAAATTCCCACGAAATCGGCCGTTTTTTCCGCTAAAATGGGTCTCTAAAAATCCCCTGAAATTTTACTTTTTTTCCGTGACCTATCAGAAGCCCTGCATGTGGGCCAGCATCAACAATTAAGGTGGCTTACTACAGTCGAACCTCGATTATCCGGACTCGTTGGGACCAGACGAAATAGTCCGGATAATCGAGGGTCCTGTACCGTTTTCTGAGACTCCGTAGTAGCGCGCGCTACGATTGCCTACCAGAAGTCCAACCTCGTTCCCAGGCTTGCTCTCCTCTGCCTCCCTTGGTCTTTGGGAGAAAGAAGCCGGTTGCGGGTCACCACATTAAATCACACACGGGCAAATGCACCTTTGAAATTCTCCAGTCTTATTCTAAGCTTCACACAGGTCAAGAGAAATATATTTATCTACACCCAGTATATTGAAGTAGCACTCTGATTTCAATTTCAGCCGGTCGAATTAATAACTGAAGAAGTAAAACTGTTTCGCTGTTTCATGTTGCCTGAATTAACCTCACGGCACATTGTTCGCTGTAGGTGACCAAAGATGTTTCGTTTACCATTTCGCAAAATGTATTCTTATCTATGCCAAGGAACTGTGTTTAAACATCTGTCTAAATATAAACTTACATAAACCTGATGCAGATGAAATATAAGCGCGGGCTTTTGTCAACAAAACTGTAAATCGATTACATTGCAATTGTTGTATAAAATCAAATGCAAGTCAGAATACTCGGCCTTTTAACATCCAAAATACCGCACAAAGAAGAAAATAAATTACCTCCGAACTCAAAGATTCAAGAAACTGATCAGCTGGTTCCACTTCGATTCGGTAGGTGACGTTGTACATGTGCTAACCATCGAAAAGTTTGTGCTCCTTTCGCCTGCCGAATTTCTTTGTAACGAAAGTCTTCTATGTTTGGGGGACGGTAGGAATAATGTGGCATTCTTCTTCATCGGCAAAATTTGACTTCGAACCTAGATAAAGCGGATAGTTTTTAGCGACTGCTCGAGTTTTTGAAACCCACAAAGTTTGTCACAACAACAATCAAAACACTATGCCACCCCTCCCGCCCAACAGATATTTTTACCACCCACATTCTGGGTGGTCACTTAACCAGCCGCAACCAGGGTCTTTCTTCCAACGACTAAGGGAGGGAGGCAGGCAGGCAGGCAAGTAGGCGGGCGGGCGGGCCAGCGGGCAGGCAGGCGGGCAGGGGGGCAGGCGGGCAGACAGGCAGGCAGGCAGACATACATACATACTTTAGTGCCACTCCCTATAAGAGTTTTGACTTCGAAAGCGGATAGTTTTTAGCGACTGCTCGAGTTTTTAAGTAACCCTAAGAAAAAATGTAAACAACTTCTGCACTTGAAACACGTTAATTAATTTAAAAACTTTGGTACACGTAGCGATAGTTTAAAACTGGTTTCAAGCAGGTGTTTCTTTCTCGCACGCGACACATGGCGTCAAATAAGCGGGCGCTTAAATAAAAGGCATGCGCAGTTCAATTCCCGTCCAAGGTTATAAAAGCCAGTCTTTGATCGAGGATTGCTCGAAAACCTACTGTACAACCCATGCTGAAATTTTCACAGTTGATTTGCAGGGGTGAATAGAGCCAAAATTTAGAAAAACTCTGTAAGACAAATTTTGAGCTATTTTGTGAAATAGGCAAAATTTCACATTTTCTTACTTTGCGAAAAGTCTACCTTACAGATTTTTATTTTGCTTTGCATGACTGTTTAACCAGAGCCAGTTTCTTCTTCCTAAAATTCATACAGTTAGATTTTGAGAAAAACGTCATTTTATAGAATGGTAAAAGACTTAAGCAAACAGTACAAAGAGAAAGCAAAAACGTCTTGGGACATTTTTCAAAAGAGCTAGAAGTTGGGCTGTGATAATCCATCAAAACTGTAGTAAGCCACCTAAATGTTATGGGTTTACTGGGATCATGGTGGACTAACACCTAATCATTTGAGTAAAGGCTGCTTCACAACACTCCAAAACCATTTAGTCTTGTTACTGAGTAGCTCAGGAATAAACTTTGAGTAGTAATTTATCGTGCTAAGAAAAGATCTCATTTGCGAGACTCAATTGCAGGCCCTGGTTCTTGCTGTATGGCCTCAAGCTTACTGTTCACAGGACTTACCCCTTGCTTGCTCAAAATGTGTCCTATACACTTTATCTTGTCTTTCAAAAACTGACACTTAGGCCTACTTAGACTTGCCTCCTAAATACTTGTCTAAGGATGTCCAAGTGTACAGACACTCTACCAGATGTAGCTAGCAAACAGTATGTCATCAACACGCACCATCACCCTTTTAATCCCAGACAAAATGGCATTTACGACTCTCTGGAATTGAGCAGTTACTGTCTTCATACCGAAACATACACGTTTTGACCTAAACAAACCTTTGCGTGTATTGAGCGTCAGTAACTCTGATGATTCATCATCAAGAAATAATTGATTGAAGGCACCAGATAGATCTATAACAAACAAGGTATCCGGGGTAGAACCATACTGAGACAGTATGGCAAAGATATCTTGTACATCAGGCAAAATTTGCATCTATCATCAATGCGTTCATTCAGTGCTTTATAGTCTCCACACACCCGTGGATAGACCCATCAGCCTTGGTAACATGAACTACTGGACTAGCCCAACTACTGTGAGATGCGGGATACAATATATCGACCTGTACGAGCTTGTCATACTCCTTTTCAACTTGTGAAACAAGTGAGGCAGGCACAGGTCTATCTTTCTAAAATACTGGCTTAACTACTGATTTAAGAATCAAGGAGCCTAGATTACATCTACATCTACATCTACACTTAGTTAAGTCGATAAAAATCGTTAGATATCACGCCGACTTTAAAACTCTGAATAT